AATAAAATGTTAAATAAAACATATTAAACTACAGCAAAGGTCACATACAACAGTTACCATAGCAACAAAATACATTAGCTTTAAAATTGACTAGCATAGATATAAATACATGGAAATTAGAAATATTCATCCCGTAAATCTTGTAAACGGATACATTAACCTGATTTAATATGAAATTATAGCACAAACCTAATAGCAATCGGTGATTGCCAATCACATACAAAATTTGAAAATGCATAAAAATAATAATTTAATGTAATTTTTATAAATTTTCCTCACATGCCACGATATTTCTTTAAAAAAAACATATTTTACATATTATTTGAATTGAATTTATATATTTTATAATATTTTATTTAATATCATTTTTATATATTATATTATATATTAAATTTATATATATTATTTATATTAATTAGAATGATATTATAATAATATATTATAATTAAAACAAAAAGAATTGATTGCTAACACATTAAGTAAATAAAAAATATATAATATTTCAAGAAATAGAGAGAAACAAATAAACAAATAGCCAAACAAACATGTACTCACCGACTCGTTGTAACCTCGATAAAGACTCGATGAAGACACTTCTTGTTACGAAATAAACAAATCTTCGAACTGCTATAAAATCTCTTTCGAGATCGCGAAATAAAACTGAAAATTAAAACAAACAGATTTTTTCCGAATAATTTGTTATTACAATGAATTTAGAAAATGAAAATATTTCAAAGAAAAGGATTGAAAATTTGTTGATGAACGGTTGCTCACTAGTGATATGCAAATGTTTCGATTAGATAAAATAATATTTTCTGGAGTATGTGTGACACAGTTCAAGACACACATACATGATAGAAAGATTCATATATATTCTTTTGAAGTTGCCCAGAATTATTCTGACGATCATTGAATTTCTGTAACGTTCAAATGTTTCGGTTTGATAAAATGACACATTTTATCAAATATTTATTATAAATTAAACAAAATATTTTCGCGTCAAACAGTGATCATAATATTTTTTCATAACTAATATAAACCTTTTTTATACTGAATTCAGTTTAAATTTTTAAAATTACGATTTTTAAATTCAAAATGAAACAATATTTATTCAAATATTTAATAGAAAATTAAATAAACTTTCTTCGATCAACAATAAATAAATTTTTCTAAAATTGATCAAAAGTTTTCTCAAAGTAACATAAAACATTTAATACAAATTTTATTTACATTTCATTCAATAGCAAAATCATAATATTCAATACAACGATAATATACCACCCTTATAAAAAATAATTAATAATAAATGTTACTAAAATAATATTTCAAATTATTTTCAATTATTAAGTAATTAATAATAAAAATTATTATTATTATATTGTTAATTATTTACCATTTCAAATAATATTTCTAACAAAATTTAATAAACATTTCCGTAACAACGATAACAGTACACGTCAAAAATTGATTTCAAAAATGAATCTCAACAACCGTTCAATCAACCATCAACATTTAGATGTTACAATTCGACAGAAGTATACCTCCTCCTTTTTTCCAGATATTCGTAACAAAATTGAAAAAAAAAAAAGAAAAAGAAGAAAAAACTTATCCCCCCTCCCCTATCGAAAAACTCTGATTCATCCATTGATACTCTCCATTGAACTGAAACACGTTTTTCTCATAGTAAATCTAAAAAGTAGTTGAAAAAGTGTACTGCGGTGAATACAAATAATAGCTGTTCGAGGAAACGTCTGTCAAACTTCAAAAAAACTAGAAGAATAAAAATTGAAAGAAAAGAAATCTCTTAGCACGGCCACACCCTAAATTTGCGAAAAGTAAAAGCATTTTTTTTTCTTTTTCTTCGATTATTCTTTTACATACAATAGAAGGAACAAGTATCGAAAAAAAAATCGATGCGAGCACCGGTGAACACGGAGAAGAAAGTTCCGTAGGGGATAAATCAAAGAATCTTCCTTCCAACGAGCGTTCAAGTTTTACGTTCGGAGACAGGCAGGACCGATTGGTGAGAAGAAAACGTATTTCAAAGAAAGAGAAAGTGAGATGAACGAATGTTAGAGAGAGAGAGAGAGAAAAAGCCGATTGGAAGTGGCTGAAGCGTGGAACACACGGTGATTCGTCGAAGTTAACGTCACACTGAGGATAATGGCTTATTAACAAAGCGTGTTACCATGGAACGCGAAGGAAGTGACAGAGAAGGTATCTAAGGTATAGAAAAAGAAAATGAAAGCAAGAAAAAAGAGAAAGAGAGTGAGTGAGAGAGAAAAGGGAGAGTATTCTGACGCCAGGAGTCCAGTCACGGATTTCTTGGACGCCTCTTTGAAGTAAAGGTCTCCGGCACAACGGAGCTTTAATTACGCCGATATCACGGTAATTAAGCCGATCAATGCGTACCATTGTGAGTTAAGGTGAGAAAGCTGAGCTGAGCTCAGTTGAGTTGAGTTGAGTTGAGTTGAGTGAGGCACCAGTCAACTCACGTTCCAGTCCCATCCATAATCCTGAACGCCGTGTACAAAAGCCACCATGAGCGAATCGATGTATAAAGAGGGTGTTATAAGAAGATGGGCCGATACCCCCCCCCTACTCCCCTTTAACTTACCTGAAAGATCTTACCCTAAGAAGACCACAAGACCACCTTCCATGCTATGGAAAAATCATCTCGAGTAAGATGAAGTAGAGATAGACAGGGGTTAGGGAACAATTGGAGATTGAGGATGAGAATAAACAGAGTTACTTTTATGTGTAATACAATGTGGAACTTTCATGTACTATGTTGTTGTTAATGTTGAGATTAGTTTTGTTTTTTTTTGTTCTTTTCTTTTTATTCTTGCTTTTATTTAGCGATTATAGTCTTGTTTTCTTTTCAGATGACGAAAACTTACAATTACTCATTATACTTCTCTTTGTGCAAGCTTTTATATAACGTTTTATAAATTATTAACTCTAGAAATTATAATATTATTCTGGAAATTTTATAAATCATATTTTTTCAATAAGTTTATAAATTTTTTAATAAATAATTTATTAAGAAATTATACAATTGTTTGGAGTAAATAATCATTCAAAAATTTAAGAAAAATATATAATATTGTCTTTTACGGGTCCCTTTTACGGGTTTTAGGGATCCGTTCCCTTTACAAAGATTTTTACATTCTTCTAACTCTTCGCATTACCACACAATTTACATCTAACTAAACATACAACGGAAGCTAATAAAAATATACTGAATATATCGTAGTAAAATTACTATACTTACTACTACTACTCCAACTATTATATACACCATGTACAATCCAACACCATTAATTGATTAAACAAATTCAGCAACACCTATCTATCGACCCCATCACATCTAACCTCAACAAAATTGCATTTGCTCTATTCAAAAAAAAGAAGAAAAAAATATATATATAATAATCTAATAATTAGTAATCAAATAATTCAATAATATTATCAATATTAAGTACTTTTTATTATAATGAAAAACAAAGTAATAACCCAAGATCACGAAAATTTCAATACCTTACAAGATATTTGACACTTCAACTGAAAAAATTCTGTTGCAGAACAAAAAAGGTGATAATAGAAAAATAGAACGTATTATGTTATATAATTTTTTTCTAGTTTTACTTTTAACAACTGTAACCCATCCCACTTTTCAAAATAATCAAACCTTGTTATAAAAGTATCACGTTATAAGATAAATTCGTGTAATAATAAAACAAAAAACAAATGTTTTATTATATAATAAATTAATATATATATATTTTAATATATTTTAATATATTTTTTGGAAGAAAGAAATGGTTTTTTTTTTGAAGAAAGAGAAGCGAATTCGATATAAATTTGTTACCGTTAAAGTATCCAATTCGGTTAATTAATGAAATAACTAAATAATATATGAATTCACGAGAAGCAAATAGTAATTAAAATATTCAATTGAAATTTGATCCGCGTTTAATAAAGTCTGCTTTTATTTTTACAACAATATTATATTATATAATATACATTTGTTTGGTTAATATATTTCTTGTCATAGAATAGGTAGCCATTTTGAAATTTGAGTATAATATTCCGGAAAGAAAAAAATCTATTTATTGATCATTGTTATTATTTTTATCATACATACAATAATTCCTATTATTATCAATAATATATATATAATAGACTAGAACAATCGAACTTAGTTTATAAAATACCATGTGAATGTGACAAATGTTACATAGAACAAACCAAGCAAAAATTAAAAAAAAGATTAGAACAACATAGGAATGATTGTAAACCTACGAATGTGCAAAAAAATAATACTACTGCGTTAGGGTTGCGTCAGGGTTGCGCAACACCATTTCAAAACAGGACACAAATTCAAATTTAAAGATACAACCATTTTAGACAGAGAAGACAACTGGTACAAAAGGAATATAAGTCAAATGTACCACATAACGAATAACAATAGAGTTAACTATAGGACAGACACGAACAATTTAAACAACATCTATAATGAAATTTTAAAATTCAATTATCATAACAGGACACACAAATAGAGGACATCATAATACTGAAGATACCTAGATTATTAAACACTAGTCTAGATAGAATCAGTATTTGATTACGTGTGATAAGATAAGGTGTTTAGGAATAAATTGTATTGTAATATGTTAAGTATTATTGAAATGTATGACTCTGAAAGAAATGACATGTGAACTGTAAAGATCGAGGTAAACAAAAAATTATTGTAATTTATTGTAATGTTTTATATAGATTAACAAGTCATAATAAAAAAAAAAAATTTTGTTAGTTGCTAATGAAGTCCCAAGTAAGGAACGAAACGTACAACTGGTTAAAAATAAATTGTTCATAAGATTTAACAACCGTCCAAAATTCCCTTTGAGACTTATATTAATAATATTTATTTCTGGACAAGAATATTGATAATTAAGTATATATATAATATATAAAAAAAAATGAATTTTGATTTGCAGGTAACATCAGCCGCAACAACAACCACTCCAAGTACGAATACGGTTAGTCCTAGCGTGAACGACATGGATTGGTTTGCAGGCGTTACGGAAGAAGAATTGCTCTATTATTCCGGTGTCGGGAACGATGTTGATTCGTTATGGGCAGTCATAGGAAGTTTCGTGCCGCCACCACCAAGGCCACCATACCTCCCAGAGGAAGGCATCGCCACCGATGGACTTACCACCTGTGATCTGTGCTCCTGGGCATGGAGAAACGACAGGCATCCTTTTTCTTTGGATGGAACACTTGGTGAGTTTTACTATTTTTTTTTTCTTTCCTTTTACCATTCATTTCAATAAAATGATGATTATTGTTAATAATAGAGGAAAGGGCTTGTATTATACTATGCCCCTATGGTGGTAATTATGTCTCCACTTGTGTGTGTGATTTTTATATTTGAAATATAAAAAGAATATTTATTAATTCATAAATGTCATCTGTTGTATCTATTACCTGTACAGGATGTGATCTACAAAAAGTATTCGAAACTTTAATGGACTTATGTAGTACTCATTAGAAAGAATATATCAACAAAAGTCTTATAACTAGAATTTCTTTCATAAAATATAATATTAGTGTTCAATAATGTTTAAATTCATGATTTTTCTGTTTTTAAATAGCTCAGAAAACAAAATTTAACATATTATATTACAGTTACTGATATTACAAAATAAATCATAAAATACGTTATTTTTTTAATTTTTCGACTTATTGTTAATCCACTGTCATAATTTTCGGTATATATGTATAATGATAAAAACATTAACGATTTTAATATCTGAAAAAGATAACCTCAAAAAACAAATAATTCTCATATCATTATATACCCCTTTTAAAAACAATTATTTATTGAAAAACATTCCTGTATATAAAAAAATGAAGATATTTAAAATAATCAAACTAAATGAAACACATTATACAGGGTGTTCCGAGATTTACTGGCCAAACTGTGGGAACAAATTTTACAAGTGGAAATAAAAAAAAATGTTATTTGAAGTTAGATTAGAGAAATGTTTTATTAGAAAGTTCTAAACAAATGAAATTGAAATAGAAAATAACAAATTTAACGGATCAATGAGCAAGTCATAATACCATCACAAAGTTTTGTTTTCGTATCGAATTTGAGTTACTGTGGACTTGTAAATGATTATTATGAAAATTGAATATTCTCATTGATAAGAAAATATTGTCCCTTTCTAGTGCATTCACATACTAATTACCAAATTCTTTATTTAGCGGGAACATTTATTTTTATCCTGTTACACATTTCTAACAATTACGGAAGTCATTCTCAAAAACAACCAAACACATATGTTCAATTTCATTCTTCCGTAAATAAATTAAAACAATAGTTAGTTACGTTAGAAGCATCAAAAATAACGATCCTTTCAGATAATATAATAGTCAAGGGTAATTAACTATTCGGAGGGCTTGTCCCTACCATAAATAAAATTGTAGATCCGGTAAAGTTTTTTCGTCCAATCAGAATGTAGCTGGTTACGGTTCGATGATTTTCCCTTCGGAATATCAACGTTCGTGGCATGAAAGCAAGGACCTCGATGCATTAATGGCGTATTGTAGGGACACCCCCACTCTTTCAGTTGACAGAGTTTACATTTCCATATATTTCCATTTGAAAAATTCTTAATCAGAATAAAACTCAACTATGTAGATCTAAAAATATCGAATAGGTGTTAAAAAAAAGTGATATAGAAGTAGATAAATATATAAAAAAAACTAGCAAAGCTTAGCCATTTTTGAAAAATGTGATTGAAATTCATTTCATGTTCCCTTAGCAGTGATTTTTTACGACAGAAAACCGCATTAACTGACATCATACGATATCTTCTATCTAAATAAATAAAACTCTATTGAAAAATTGTATAAAATATAATATATCGTAAAATAAAATGATAAAACCGCAAAATAAATTAAATAATCCCAATTCCGTCCGTACACACCCAACTTACATTCTATAAATATTCACGATCTCGTATCCGATAAAATCAGTATTACTCAATTTCTATCAATTATATAATTCTCCACATACACATACACACGCGTACGTACCCTGCTATTACAAAATAATAATAAAACAATCCTTTGTATGAAAGAAAACGAAATGGTATGAGAAAAGAAAACAAGAAAAAAAAAGAAAAAAAATCAACAACCCGATAAATCGAAGATGGGTACCCCTACACACTATACGTTATAAATACAGCTCACATACTACTATCAGTAATATATACATACATATATACAATACATATAAGTCGATGGTTTTGGTAACGTTGCTTCAGGGCCGTGCACCCCCTTCTTACTTCCCTCCTCTTTAAACGCTTCTCATGCAGACCCCATCGGCCGCACGCATTATCGCCATTACCATGAATTCTCTCGGTTATTACGCCTCTGTTGCACCGCCACCAAAATGGCGCCGAGGTACATATATCCTACCGTGTAAGGAAGACTCGCCCTCGCCAATACTTTTTTTTCCTTATGGAATTTGGCGCCTCCGACCACGGTCCTCTCTCTTTTTCGTAACATTCGAGAGGGTTACTCGGCATCCTCATCTTCTTCCTCCTGTTTCACCCAGTAATAACGAGTTCGTGTTCGCGAGACGCCCTTCGGCGTTATTTCGATCAACTCTCATACATACTTCTTTCTCTTCTTCTTCTTTTCTTTTTTTTTTTACACGTTTTTTTCTTCTTTCCCATTCGTTTTCTTTCAACGACACGAATTTTGTTTTTATCTTTTTTCCCAAATTTAATAATGTTTTAATATCTCGGTATAGGAGAAATATTTTAGGTTATGTTAACCCTTTGAGCACTATGGATTCATTTATGTGTTCAATTAAAGTTTGAATTAACGGTTTATATATGAGTTTGATCATTTTTTTTTTATATACAAGAGATATTATCATAGAATATTTGTTAAACATATTATATTAAGCAGCACAGAAATGTTCTACAAAATATTTATCTGAAAGTGAAATAATGAAATCCCCGTTGAGTTTAAACTGAAATATAAAAATAGGAAAAAAAACTCGGAAGGATTTATAAAAAAGACTCAGAACATTAATGGTCAAGGTTATTAAAGAACCTTCTTGTAATGTTTTTAATATATGTATTTTTTAAATAAGGTCACAATAAAAAAATGTTCAGTTGCTGAAGAAGTCCCAATAAAGGGACGAAACGTTCAATGAGATCAAAACAAACATTCTACAAAAATTGTTCAACCTGTCCGATTTCCTTTAAGATACGTTTACTAAAAAAAAAAAAACATTGAACTGTATCCAATGTAGAAATGAAGAATAACCGTTATAAAAACCAATGTGGAACTGATTTAATGTCAGTTTTAAGAAACTGAAATCGAAATCGATATGGACAGGAACAGCAATATCCACAACAGTTATATGATTTTTTTTTTTTGTACTCATAACTATTACAGTCCGGTGTGATATATAACAGTTGGAAGCAGTTATATTCCAAATCATTTTAAACCCTTGCCTGTAAGGTACTTTAGCTTTGCAGTATCATTCACAGCTTCTTCCTTACAATTAGTTTACCATAGTTCTATACTATCTAAATAACGTTGAAAAATATTTAATTAAATAACTATTACGTAGTGTCTTGAAAATTCGTGCCGATTTTGAAAAAAATATACAGTCAGTCTCGGAAATGTTCATACATTTACTGTCAATTTAAAACAATCAATATTTTCTTGTAATACAATATTTCAAAATTCTTATACAAGGATACATATTTTAGGATTATTCACTTTTTTAATTCATACAATTCTTTTTTTCTTCTACAAAAAAGCACTTTATTCCAAGAAAAATTTACTTTTGGATAAATTATAACAATATTGGTATTTCTAGAATATTACAAATTGTTTGAATTATTTGAAAATCTTCTATTGTATTAGAATTAAAAATTAAAAATTACTCCACATTTTTCTAGTACTTGATATTTGTTTAAAATTTAAAAGAAAAAAGCATTTTATAAATAATTTTCCGTTATTAGGAAACCTTGTTTTACTACTAGAATTCACATTTGACGAATAAGAAAATATTTCCAACGATAAACGAGTGCAATGTACTAAAGAGAGGAACCAAAAAAAAATGAAAAAGAAAAGGATAAAAAAGGATGAGAAGCTTAAAGGAGGTTGCCAACTCGGTAATCATCGCGTCACTTCGTAACCCGTGAGATGTAATAATTACGAGATCGCACCTATGACTCTCTCGACGTGGCGAGGCCTCTTTAAATCTTTTTGTTTTTTTGTTTCTCTCTTCCTCTTTCTTCGTCAGAAAAATAAACGTAGAAAAAATGAAAAGGAAATAAATAAAATAGAAATAATAAAAGAGAAGGAAATATGAAATAAACTCGAAGGTGGATCGCGTTTGCGTATTCTACGTTTCAATGTAAACAAGAACAAATAAAAGAATGTTTTTATAAGTTGGTATAAAATTAATTGCAATTTTTAAATATCGAATTTAAATGTTTATATGATTTTAAACGTTGGGTAATTGTTCAATGATAAACATTGAATTTTTAAAAAAAAAAACCCCTTTTGAATTGTCATTACAATAATGACTTTTATTTCAATCATTATTTTGTTGACAATTAAAAGATTTCCTGATTTTCAAAGCTTTCGTTTTCATTACGAAATTTGTTCGAATTAATATTAAATTGAACGTTTATATCTTTTGTTCAAAAGTATATTTTATATTTCAAGCAGTTTCCATTTACAATTAACGTTTAAATTTAAACCCTTACGATAAAATCACATGAATCGTTCTTTTTTATCGTTATTATATTACAAAGAATATAAATACAATAATATAAAAAAAATCAATATTCTTAACTTCATTCTTTGCAGTTAGGTGTACTATCAGGTCTAGTACAATAATTAATGTCGGATTTTTTAGGTTATGTTGTTTAAATTATCACAGAACAACTTAACAAACGCTTGAAACAAAACCGACAGTAATTATTACTAAACCTAATACATAACCATTATTAAATAAAAGAAACTGAACAAATTTTGTGTCAAATAAAAAAGAATAAAAACCATAACAATGTTTGTATCAATCTTATGATAAAATCTTTAATGGAATCTAATAATTAATTAAACTTCTCGAATTTAATATTAAAATTGTGACTAATCGAATTTCTTGACATCCCTTTAAATCCCAAAAGTACTAGTTTTACCAGTAAAGTACTGCTTTTCATTCATTGATCTTGGTTACT